ATCCTGATTCTGATGAGAAGGGCACTGCATCGAGCTCAAGGCCTACATTTCCTGGATTCTCTTGTGTCCAGGGTTGACCATGTGACACAATCCTGACCATTAAGATATAAGCAGAAGTTCGTGGTTATTTCAAGGTGGCACATTAACATCAGATGGAACTGGCCAGCATACCCTGATCCTTCCCATTTTGTAGGAATGTGAACAGATTTGCATTTATCTTTCCATAAAAGGAAAAGAGAACCAATGACATTTAGGAAGATATAATGGAAGGCAGGCAAGCGGGAACTTAGTTGCCTCAGGACATTCTGGGGCTGCTACATTAGCTTTGGACTGATTCTTCTAGTGAAGTAAAAGAAAAATAAATCTCTTCCCTGTTTAACATACTGTCTTTTGAGTTTTATGATTACATGAAATTAAATTCAGTCTGTAACTAACAAAGTATTTTGTTTAAAGAGCCTTTCCCTTAAATATTTAAAACCTAGTTGTAAGACAGAGACAAATTTTAAAAACCAAATAATATAAAATATACAAAAAGAACCCCAAGATACACAGAGAAGACTAAAAGTCAAATTTGAAAAACCAGAAACCCTAAGATACACACCTATGGAGACCTAATAAGACTTAAATATCATAAAAGGTAATAATAAAATTGATGTCACATGACAGTAATTACTAAATTGAGTAATAACTAACAAAGGCACATCTACTGATACTGAATCAAGATACCATTAAGAGATGAGAAAGAGTCTTAGAAGACTTCAAGATGGTACACAGCCTAAGCTGGGACATAGAAAACAAACAACCTGTGGAAAAGCAAACAGGAGCCTGGAGTTGTCTATGGGCCACAGAGCGAAAGACTGGGAGCAAAAGCACAGAGAGACAAACAGCAAACACTGGAGCGCAAGGAGAAAAACAATGTGCCGGAGTGGAGGCTGCCTACGAAGCTGGGGAAATTGCGGTACATCCAGGTCCTGAAGCATAATGAATGTTACATACATTTGGACTGATTTTGTACATATTTAAGTTTCAGGACAAAATACTGATATGATGATCTGATTCATTCTTTATAAAATCATTTTTAAAGAACCATAGCAATGGTTGTAATTGTATGAAGGAAATATAACAAACTTTTATTTTATAGATGTGGAATTTGATCTTCTGATAAATGGCATTGCTCCATAATATACTCGTGAATTACAGATTTTCAAAAAGACACGAATCTTAAGAAAAATACATTCCAAAAATTATTCCTTGCTTCTCTGAGATTTCAGAAGACACTTCAGGGTCTTGTGTGTTGATCAACATCTCTGCAACTAAGGTATGAATAAAGAATGTAGAAATGCTTGTAAGCATAATTTGTGAAACAGTGTTAATCTGATAGAGGCATGAAACATTCCTACCCACACAAACATCTGACCTTGCAGCCTTTCAATTAAAAAAAAAAAAAATGTCAATTTTGTATTGTACTTAGTTTATACTTTACAATGCCTGAGTCTTTTGTTAACTCTCTGGGGCCTTAAAATGTTTTCTTGATGTAATGTACCATCTAGACTTCTGAGAATAAATTGTCTCTGTCTCTGTCTCTGTCTCTGTCTCTGTCTCTGTCTCTGTCTCTGTCTCTCTCTCTCTCTCTCTCTCTCTCTCTCTCACTCACACATACACATACACACACAATCGCTCGTTTTGTTGCTTAACAATTGTTTTCAATACTGGAGCCTGTGAGACTTGGTAGAGGTACAAAGAAAGATGAACGGATTTGCCTAAGGTAATTCTAGACTAGAAGTTGAATGGCAATTATACACACCATAAGGAAATTTCATTAACATATTAATTTCAGGAGGTAACAGGTATCCAGGAGAAACACACTGGAAGTCACAAGACCTAGATTCTATTTCTAGCTTTGCCATTGACCTTCTGGGTGACCTTGCGTAAGTCACTCAACCCGCAAGAGACTCAGTTTTCTCATCTGGAAACACACACACACACACACACACACACACACACACACACACGAAAAAAAAAGGCATAGTTATCTGAGAAAAATGCTGTAAGGTAAAGGATTCACTCAGAACCTTTTGTGAAGCTGTGATAATTTCTGAGGGATATGATAAAACCTTCTTTACTAGAACCTTAATTCTGAGAAAAATGCGCTAAGGTAAAGGATTCACTCAGAACCTTTTGTGAAGCTGTGATAGTTATCTGAGAAAAATGCTGTAAGGTAAAGGATTCACTCAGAACCTTTTGTGAAGCTGTGATAGTTATCTGAGAAAAATGCTGTAAGGTAAAGGATTCACTCAGAACCTTTTGTGAAGCTGTGATAATTTCTGAGGGATATGATAAAACCTTCTTTACTAGAACCTTAATTCACTAAAATCAAGGAAATCAGTTCTAAATAAAATTAGAGGAAGCCAAAAATTTCTTTCTGATTTGCTCAATAGGGAAGTCTACCAAAATATTCTGTTTCTCATAGATCAAAGTGTTATTTGATCTACTACAAAAAAGATCCATACCTTGTTAAGGGCCCTACTTCAAATTCAAGTTCCTAACCACTGTCAGGAGACTCTTATGGACATTTAGATCAGATACACTAGCTAATTAGAAATTTACTCCCTAATGCTACTAAGCATTGTCAGAAATGCCCTTAGCATTTCAAATGATTAGGATTCCAGTTGGCAAATTATTTTGTAAGAGCTATTCATTCAGGAGGTGCAAACATTATGCCAAACCTGTGGGAAAAGTACCTGCTTTCTTGGGAAAATGAGAAGCTGCTCCAAAATACTCTGAGAAATGTTTGTAACTAATGTGAAAGACCATCATATTACGGTACATACAGAAAATGATGTTAATTACAAATGTGGAATAACTTCCTATTTTGGAAAAAAAAAAAAATGTCATGGTCTAACCAGAGTAGATGCATACTTTTTAGTCATAAAAATACCCAATTCCTAAAATAAGAGATACTAAAATGTCATAACAATCTTATAGACAATAGGTCCTTTGGAGTTAAGATGTCAGGTCAAAGAAATAGCCAAAGTAATTTCTGCAAGTCATAATGCGCTAAATTATATGAACATTTAATACATGTACTCAATGTTAAGGAATAACACAGATTTGGGCTTAGGGAATTTGGACTTATGTAATTATTATAATAGAAACCTGGCAAGAGTTTATTTTAAAGAGACTAAGAGCAATCACAATGATGTGTCCAGTGGCAGCTCAGAATTAACATCAATTGTAATCACAGCTTTCCAAGGTAATCTTAGTTTGCCACTTACTAGTCAGTGCTGAAAGCTATTTTCTAGCTAAGTTTTACTCACACTGACTTTCCCTGGACTAACTGCTCAAAGTCCTTGAAAATGATCACATCTTTTTCTAATGTTTTATACTAAGAAAATAAGAGATGGTTTAAATACATCACTATAACCATGAAAATACAAACTATGTTATTTTATTCACAGAATTACAGATGCAAATAAGACTGAAGAGAACATTTAATGAAAATTTCTCAGCTGTTATCTTACAGGTGAGAAAATAATGACTCAGAGTTTAAGTGACTTGCCCAAACCAAGGTCACACAGCTAGTAAATGTAGAGTCCAAGTGGTATGCTTTCCACCACAGCAACATGTTGTTTAAAACAACGACATAATGAATGTTTCTTGGTCCATCTAAACTGTAATATTAACTTGATGAAGAAGAAATCAAACATAAGAAGATACATTTGATATAAGTTAAAATACTTTTCATATTCCTAAAGAGTCAGGAAACCTATATGGTCATTCTTAATGCACTGCCAAGTCTAAATCAAAATAAAGATTCAAGCTCAGAGCAAAAGATTTTTCATTAAATTTGCTTAAAATGAGAGATAGGCATCAAGAAAGATAAAGAACAAATGTTGGCAAAATTACCATATACTATTTCATGCCAAGTAAAATGTCCCTGGTGAATAAATAGTGGATCTGATAAAAAAAAAAAGAAAGTTGAAAACCTAAAAGTTAAAAACAATAAAGAACAGACACTTCTTTTTTAAAAAACCACCTTAATTGTTAGAGTTGTCATTTTCGAATAAATTAAACCATGACCTCTGACTTAATGGAATACACTAATAGTTAACTAACAGTTAACTATTAAAAGCTGGGTATGAAAAAAAAAATTTACAAGTTTCTAGTGTCACCAAAACCGTTCAGAAAGAATACTGCCAAAAATATGTTTGGGTCCTTTCTTTTTCTGTGCAACAGATTTGATTCTTGAAAGAGTTCAATATTAGGTTCTTATTTAGTGTATTTACAGGAAGTTTAGAATATTCAGTTTTACAGAAATGCTACATTACATGGTGTGTTTATTACCTTATAAAATACACTGCTACAAGGAAGACATGAAAATAATCTTTACAAAAAAATAATAGATAAAATATTTTCATACATAGGATTAGTTGCATTAATAACAGAAAACCCTTTTCACAGGGAAATTTAATGGAAAATTTTTCTTAAGTAAATAGGAAGAAACTCAATAGAAACGGGTAAAAACCAGACAATAATAAACTGGTGCCATATGTTTAAACAGTAAAACAATTACATACTCCAATAATGAAGATGGACGTATTATATATTATAGTGAAACAAAGAAATTGTTCCTCAGTAAACAAATAGAAAACGTAATAGTTAGCAGATTTCCTACTGAACTAAAAGCAAAGAGGCCTGAAGTTACAGTAGAAGAAGAAAAAAAAAGAAAAGCTTCAATACAGTCTCTAAATCACAATGCCCTGAGATCGAGACCAAACTGCTTTTACATGGAGCTTTTTTACTCTGTACAGAGATGTTCTAGTGCAGCATGTTTTTTCCCCTAGTCTAATTCCAATAATATACCCTCTAATTACCTGGAGCCTCAATGAATTACAGTCTCTCCCAGGATATGTAACTAAAATTTCCAACATATTAATAAACACACAATAATGGGGGGAGGCGAGAAAAAGAAAAGAAAAAAGGCAAAAGCAGCCACATACCCTCTTCTGTAGCACTATGGGCGTTATTGTAGGCAGAGTGACTCTTCTCGCACTTAAACTCATGCCTGCTCTTAGAACGATCCCCTCTCACAGACCATGGATGAAATGAAAGAAATCTCTTACAGTTACTCCTTAGGAATCTCAGGGCTCAGTGCAAAGAAACAACTAGGAAAGCAATAAATGTCACCCTGCTTATGTGATTCCAATCTACCCAAAGCCAATTAAGGATGGCTGTGGGACAGTACAAGGCAGCAACCAATCAAAGCCCAGAAAACTCTGCCTTTGTCCTTGGAAACACATTCTGATACTTTTGTTTATGATATTTAAAGAACCAGATTAACAGGCATCTAGTTCACTTAACTTTTTTTTCCAAAACAGTGCAATTCAATGCCATTTTTGTTGACGAGGCAGTTTTGTCTTTATTTTACTAAAACATTTCAACATATGGCAGAGAAGAAACGCTTTATATTGGTCTATTTAAAGTATATAAATAGGCAGATGAACTAAATTTACTTATGCTACTCACGAAATTAATAAATGAGTCGATTGGAATGTATTATATGAGGCACAAAAAAATCCTAAAGTTAGAGCTGGTCCAAAAGTGTTAATTTACATGTTATAATAAAAGGTTTCTAATATACATATACGCATTTCATCTCTTAAATAGCTAAAAGTTTTGTATTATAGACCTTTCAGCTATCCTTGAAGTTACGCACTTAAATATTCTGGTTAAATATTACCTGAACAATCAACCTAAATAATAGTATTAAATATAAAAGAGGCATTAAACTATAATATATGAATCTCAAATGCTTATGTTTTTAAAAAGCACAGATCCGTGTGATTTAGCACATTTCATTCAATTAAAAGTATTTAAACAAAAATCACCACTCAAAGCAGTCTCAAAATTTTCATGACCACTGAGCTTTTTTTCTTACAATAACTAAAAATTGTATTCTATTATTTAGGGAGTTAGAGGAGGGTCACAACTAAACATTGCTTGCTAACAAGAAAACTTTCAAAAAAAAGTCTAAATAAAGAGTAAAAGAGACTAAAAAATGATTAAAAGGTATTGCAACAGTAAAGCTAATCTGAGTTTTGATAATTAGAATAGCTCTCCAGAACTGACATTTTAATTAGCACCTACTCAGTGCTCTTCAACCATGACACACAGAGGGATCCACCACCTTCAGCATGAGGGGAACGCCATGTAATTTCTAGATTATGGCACGGCTGTTGTAGTCATAAGGCAAAATGGAAGATCCTCAGCAACTCAGACAAAAACTTTCCACTTCATCATCTGGATTGCTATTAGGCAGAGTTCACTTTACTGCTTTACTTTTGGGTGTGTTTTATATGCATGGTGATATCATATTCCTCAAAAGAAAAATAGGAACACTCTCATGCTCTATACAAACTCTAGGGTTCCTTACTTGGAATTTCAAAACCTGCAATCCTTCACAATGGTAGCCTTTGGGGAAGAAAAGTCACTTAATATAAAAAGTCACTTGACAGATCCTTAGCCAGTTAGATCCTTAGCCAGTTAGATTTATCCTAGTCTTTTAAAACTATAACTACCAACAAAAATCTACTAATACTGGGAGGGAAGTTAGCATTTGTGAAGTAAAAGATTCTGATTTAACTTTGAGTCACTTTTTGCCAGGCCAAGAATAACAAAGCCCACAGTAACTACATAATTTCAATTATTATCTATAATATTTGACTTTTTCTTTCTTCTTTTCTCAATTTAGTTTTTGAATATTACAAAGCAGTATTATCTCTGGTCTCTGGTTCCACCATAATCAAAGCAATTCTTCTCACTAAATAATGAAGCTAAGTACCTACAATGTGCCAGGCACTGTGTTAGGTGGTAAGAAGATGCTGACGAATAAGGTATGGTCACTGTCTCATAGTGAAATAGAGATTTTTTTTTTTTAAGTTAAACAAATCACACTCAGGAGTGGGCTAAGTGAGTCTAATTGTGATTAAATACTAAGTACCAGGGGTGTACCAAGATAGAAGAGACGACACATCAGAGGTGAGATCATAGATCAAGGCAGGCATCAAGGAGGAAATGGCATTTGTTTTGAAATGTGATAAGGGGAAAAGCATATGCAGAACTCGATAACTGATATGGACACAGAGTGAGCTTCTCAAAGCTGACTCAAGGTTTGAGTCTAGGTGAGTGGAAATCAAAGATGCTGTTTTACATCACACTAATGAGCTTTTCAAACACTAAAATAAATCCTTCGAATCAAAACAATGCCCATATTTATGTCTGTATTTATTACACAACATGCCTGCCCTATAAAGTCTTCAAAAACACGACAGACAACTTACTGCTAATTCAATACATCATGTCTTTGGTCCAAAATTGTTGGCCATAACTTTTATCCCCATTTTGCAGCAGCTGAGGAGATTAATTCTTATCCTTTGTTTGGTTCAAATAAATTTTTATAAAAATTCAAAAACAAACAGAAAAAAGAAATGGTCTTAGATAGAATTCCGTATTGCAAAAGAACATTCTCAAGTTTACAAAGTATGTAAGCCAATAAGCCAAGGTGAAAACCTCATCTGGCCATCTCTAAGACATTCCACTATTCCACTCTACAATATTCTCTCCCATACTGTACTATATAATTTGATACAAAATTACCATAATATGCCATTTTCAACAGCCCTTGTTTCTGATATATTTAAGTACTTGTTTTACTAATTCACTTAATAAATATGTATTGAGGACCTTACTATTTGTAAAATATTATATTATTTGCTATGGGAAATTCAGAGTTGATCAACTCCTGATTCCTGTTTACCAAGGCGCTGACATATAGCAACATGAAAGCAGTTAGTCAAAGTACTGTACAAGGTGAGATCCAGGCAGAAGAAGAATGCTAACCAACCTCAGCACAGTCAATTTCTAGGTTCCAAGCCTGCCTTGTAAACCTATTTTCCTGATCAAGATCAGCAAAAGGTTCTTGAAGCTCCCCAAAGCACATTCTGTATTCCTCACCTTTTTGTTTATAATGTTCTCTCACTAAACCCCAAGACAAGCCACACTCTCACTCTGTCCCTTCACTTCCCCCTGTGTACTGTGCTATTTTGCTACTCATCTGAGGTAGCTCATTGCCTATCCAGGTCCATTATCTCCCTCAGATCAAAATTTACCCTTCCAAGAAGTCCTTCCCCCCATCTAAATTACATCATTCCTTGTTTCGTGCTTTTTTAGGACTTAAACTTTTCCATTTCTCATGCCTTGCTCTGTACTTACTAATGCATCGCTTTGATAACTAATAAACCCTTTCTTAGGCCCCAGTTTTTTGCCTAACAAAAATATAATATATAATACCTAGCAGAGTGTTCTTTATACGCAGTCATGTTCACTCACAATCAATGTGGAAAAAGTAGTCACTCTTGTCACATGGCGGACAAGCCTCTTTTCTCATCTTAACAAATGCTACCCTTACGATTTATTCTGAACAAAAGTACATGGTCTTCTTCACGGGAACATTTGAATATTCTTTTACTATCTGACATAGTTCTGTTAGTGGTCAATAGTGTGAACACTAAATTTAACTGCTGTCCTAAAGAACACCAGTTTCAAAAAAATCTTAAAATATTTTGCTATAGCAATTAACAGTCTAAATCTTTAGACATAAACTCTGTACCTCTAGTTCTATCTGCTTATCTTACTCTACTAAGACCTTTCACTACCCTAGGCATATGACACGGCGTCAGTCTTCTTACTTGATGAGCCTGATCTGATCTACCTCTATCCTATTTTTACCCCTCCACTCTGACAGCCTTTTCCTTCTAACAGGAATTTCTAGAATTTCTCATCGATTTAAACTATAACTGGAAATTTCTTCTTTCAAAGAAATTCCTGAATTGACTTATAAGCCATAGTAATGAAACATTAGCAATCCATAGTTCATTTAAATATTAAAAAGTGCCTGTTATTCTACACCTGACACAGTTTTCTATGGCAGATGGACAGTTAAAAAATAATTACGGCAATGTGTTAAGTTTTGTAACCGACAAAAGATTCGGGAATGAATATAATTCCAGGTTAAGAAAACGTATACAAAGATGAGTATGGAAAAACAGGAGGGAAGGACCAGTCAAAAATATTCATTCTATGTCATGCTGAGGCGTCTGACTCTTGTCCTTGAGGGTAGCAATACTTGATAAAATGTGAATTTGACCTGTTTTGAAAACAAACTGTGTTATTTCTCAGAATGGTAACTGGAAGCAAGGAAAACAGAATAACCTATATGAGCCTGAGAGAGAAACTCAGATTTCCAGGTTAGAAGAAAGTCAAGGTTCTAGAAATGACAAAGAGGTAGAAACAATAAGATCAAAATTCACACAAAAGTCATTAATTTTTTCCTGTATATGAGAGTATAACACAAGTTATAATTAACAAAAGTATAAGCTATAAAAAGGTAAACAGCTCGTCTAAACTCTTCAGATCTCGTATACTTTAAGGTTTTCTTAAGAAAAATAGTCATTAAAATTTTAGAGATTAGATCAACAGAACAGACAGAAAACAAATGCCTAACCTTTCTTCATATCCCCAAAACCTTAAAATGACATGAAGAAGAAGAAAGAGAAGGAAAAGAAAAAATATTTTCTTGCTAAGAAATAAGTACCTTTTTTTTATTACCATATGGGAATATAAGAAAGATACCTTCTGTAGACCATTGATTAAAAGAATTTCTAGAATCTAGAAAGTCATTGGGATTAAATTGATAAGAATGCAACATAGACCTTCCAAAAGACAAAAAAAACAACCAAAACAAAAAATATTTCTAAATAAGTAATTCCACATTAATAACAGACAACCAAGGACTGCTCAACATTTGAAGAAAACAAACATGGAAAACGATGTAAATATGAACTTCTTCCAAAAATGTAAGAGATAATTCAGGGGGGAAAAAAATTAGAGTTTTTTAAAAGTCTATCTAACAAGATGCCTCAGATGGGGTCAAGAATCAAGGAGCTATAGCACTGATAAAACAGAATGCTCTGCTGAGCAAAAGTAGTAAAGAACCACACCATTCTTGTATGTTATAAAGAGTATGGAAATATGACAATATAAGATCTTATTATTATAATGAACGAAGTCAAAACTAATAAGTAGTATAGGAGATAATGTTGAGAGACTGTCTCATATAATGTAAAGGAAAAAGTCAAAGAAATGAAAAGAGAAAAAGAAACACAGATGAACAAT